GTACTTTATGTAAAATCTCAATTAAATATTCAATAAAGATAGAGGCATGGCCTCATCATTAATATTAAAAAAAAAATATATAATTACTTAAAGATTTTCTTCAATTTATTTTAGTTAGAATCTAATTTTTTTAAAAAAATATTAATAGTAAAGTAGCTAGAACCTAATTTAAAATAGTTAGCTATAATACTTATAGGAAATAGATGATGTAATGTTATATTGGATGCCAAATTGTAATGCAAATATAGTTTTAAAAAATTTTAATATTAGATCTTATAATTTTATATATAAAAAATTTTTATTTGAACATTATACTAATAAAAAAAACTCTTTGATTATAATTTTCTTATTTATTGCTTAATAATATTCTAAAAAAACATTATTTTATGTTTTAGTTTTAATATAAAAACTTTATCCAAGTGCCTTATAGCAATATATTTATGAAACTATTATATATGATTATTAAAATTTCCTAAAAATGCAATCTCGAAGTATCTTATTTTAATTTTACTATAAATAACTTGGTTCAAAATTTTAAATTAGTAAACAAGCATTTTCAATAAAAAACTATTGGAATTTTAAATATATATTTGTCTTTTTATCAATTTAAAACCCTGAATAGCAAGGTCTTTTTTTATAAAAATGAAAATGTTATTTATTACTCTTTAGATCTATGATCTTAATTTTTTTATCCTGTAAGTCTCTGAATACAATAATAATTGTCAATTTATATTTATTATATTTTTATAAAACATATCTATTAATAAAAGAGAAATATATGAACAATTAAAATAAGTATTGCAAAATATGCTAAAGTTTAAGTAACTACTATATTGTAATTACAAGACTCTCAGAAAAGAGCATTGATCCAACTAAATTGAAAAAACGATGATGATAGATCAAGTAAAATTACCATTCAAAAAATTTCAAAATTATGTGATATTGTCAATTTATCATAATTAAGTTTATGATAGTAAAATATTAATTAATTTTGTAAATGATTATTTTATTCAATTCTTCAAAATGAAAAGTGATTATTGCGAACTCAGCAAACCAAATGATTCTTTTAGAAGCATACAATCCAATAAACATCATATATATTCTAAAAATATATATTGATTGTCATGACAAATTTCTAGTAATAAAATCTTGATCGATAGCCATTATTATTTAATATTGTATTATCTAATATTATATATTTATGCTCTTTTTTAAAAAATAGTTTTAATAGTTTTATTTATTGTGAATTTTTATTACTATCTAATTACCTTTGTAATCCTAATTTAATGGTTTATAAAAGCTATATTTTTGATATTTAATAGGTTTAAAATTTTATTAGTATTGTATTTTTTTTATTATATTTATATTATATTATTAACTAGCTCAATAACAAATATGACAATAATAAATTTTGGTTCAATATATTCAATTTACGCATTACCTTACTATATACTATTTATAGCCTAATAAAGTTAATATATTTATTATAATAATGCTATAATATTGCAAAATTTAATGCTTAAGTTATTTGTTTTAAAAAGCTAAAATTTTGATGCTTATTAGAGCTAAAAAATATTTAAAATATTTTACAAAATTAGAATCAAACTCCTAATTTATTAATTTAAAAGCTTATAAAGTACTAAATAATGATTTTTATTGCAAAATAATTGCATACCTCGAAATTTGAAGGTTTTTGTAAAGTTGTAATCCGGTGCAATACTACTATGTCCGATACCATTTTGTACTAGGATGCGATACTAAGTTAATTTTATAACAAATTTTGTTATGAAGAATCCGAATATTCGTTAAATTTTAAATAGGAAACGGATAACGGTTCACACATCTTCTTTGTACGAACCTACTTTGTACTACCATAAAAATCAAAAATTGCTGTTATTTTCACAGAGCTCAAAAGTTGGATTCTTATACGTATTTCGTTATCATTAGTTACTTTACTGGAAATCATTTCTTTCTTTAATTCCTCAATATACACTTCAGTTTCTCTGGCTTCTTGAAGATTGAACTTTGAAGATTGAACTTTTCTAACCTCATGGTGGATTTTGGAAAATATTCTTTATCAAGTTCCGAACCAATAAAATTACGACCTAATTCTCGGCAGGCCACAGCAGTAGTTCCTGAACCCATGAAAGGATCAAGGACCAAATCAGCAGGATTAGTATGTAAGGTAATGATATCTTTAATTACTTGGAGATTTTTTGAGTTGGATTAATTCTTTCTTCGCCAACCACTGAATCACCAATATATTCAGGAGCTAGATAAGGATTTTTCTTATTTTTTAAATTGTTAATTAATTGTCGTTCAAAGTTAAAGGTCCATTTTTCTCCTTTAACTGCTCAAATCGTAAGTTCGCAATCAGTAGTGTATTCCTCAGTAATATTCTTTCATAAAGGATTGGATTTCACTCAGCGAATTAAATCTTTTATTACAAACTCATTTCTTTCTAATTCTCGACTAATTTCGCCTAGGTTTCGCCAATGATTAAAGATAATCATAATGCCGCCTTTTTTAACCAAAGGGGCTGCTTCCCTAATTCAAATTAGTTGGTTAAAATCATTATCTCAATTTTCTAAGACAGAAGGAGAGAAGTTTCTTTTATTAACAAAATTTAAGTCGTAAAGATGATCGGTAATTATTGCGTATATAAAATTCTTTTGTCTTTCATTTTCTTGAATAACTCTAGGCAGTCTAAATTATATATAGTTATTGCATACGGGAACATGCAATAATGGTTTTATTTTTTATTCAATGATTTACTATCTCAATTTATGAAATAAGATCAATAATTTTTATCATATAAAAAACGGCATAAAATAATTGATTTATTTTATAAACTGATCATAGTAAAGCAGATTTTATTTATTTACATAGTTGTATTATGTTATATTTACATAAATTATTTTAAGGATATAAGGAGCAACGATAAAATGAGTAAAGTTTTTGCTTCTTGTTGAGTTTGGCTAAGTTTGGATTTCTTTTTCTAAAACAATTCCATAGTCACTCAAGTAATCGGCTAATTCCTCCTCGTCCTCAAACTTTAAAAAAACTTTACCTCTTTCCACTAACTGATAAATAATTCCACTTGAATGAATAGAGCCACTACCAACAACTTGCTTTCCAGAGGACATTACTCTCCCAATTTTTTCTCCCTGATAGAATAAAGGGACATCTTTTGGCAACTTTTTAAGAAGCAAATAATAATGGCATCCTTTGGAAGTTCTAACATAGGAGATTTGCGAAAAATGGAATTGTTCTCCTTTCTTATCAATATTCAAAGCACAAAAATAGTATTCGCCTAATTTAGTTCCAGTTCTTACACATAGTTACCTATTTTTAATAGTTTGCTGATGGTTCGGTTCTCGGGATGGGCTACCCAATTTTTCAGAACTGGCTCTTTACTATTTTTATGAATTGCCACTCGGATATGAGGTTGATCTAAATATTTTTCTTCCATGAAAGAGAGGTTTTTTATATTTTCTCTTTTCTTCTTAATTGGCTCATCGTAAACTAGTTCGGTAGTTGACATGATTTAGCTCCCATGTTTTTTTAATGCTTCTCATATATTAGTTTTTGCGTATCATGTGGCGTTCATCCTAACCAGCTACTGAACAGGAGGGAACGTAGATGTTACACAACTGATCCTTCACACGGTGTTCAACATATAAAAAAAAAAATTTACAATAACAGATCATTCTGCTAGTACACGTTATGATTATAATCCAACACCATTTTATTATAATTAACGCCGTGTGAAGGATCAGTCGTGTAACATCGACGCTGTTTAGATTTCACATCCAAATTTATCCGTATGCTATATCCGGATATCCATCTTGTTTAGATCCGTTATCAGTATAAAGTTAAACCGAATCATTTACGTACGTATGTACGTATGTATTAGCGTTAGGGAGTTAATTAACGTTAATGCATTGAAGTGCACTGAAGTGCGTCGACCTGAATGTCAAATTTTAAGTGAATTATCCGATAATACATATCGATACGTTGAATAATTGGGTTATTCATCTATTTTAACCAATTATCCATCAGATATCAGATATCAGATATCTAATAGATAAGTGGCTAAACAGTTTATGGGAACACAAATACTGTTACGCACATTATCGTTATTACTCACATTATTACGTATTTGTCCAATATGAGATCTTTCTTACCGTTACGTACTAACGTTAATCGTAAACGACCCAACGAGCAAAAACCTATCTGTGTCTTGTGCGATATTAGGAGATTACGTATGTATCTACGTAGTGCATACGTACGTAAGTACGTAGATCATATTATTCTAAATAATATCGATATTTGATATTACTAATTCAACTTTAATACAATATATATAAACATAATGTAACTGAAACATTATCCGATATCGTCCAATCGTATGATAAATTAAATGGTGTAATACGACGTAAAACGTATAAAACAAGGGCTGAAACTATAATTTGATCAAAAAAGTAATTTGCAATCTTGAACGCTTCTATCATGGAGGCATCACCTTTCTCTTGTCCAACACCTCCCGACAATGGGATTTATAATCCTTGCGTCGTAAGAGAAATGGTCATTTATCCAGCATGTCTTCTACTCTATATTATATTATTTGGCGGTTATCGATATTTTTATATCAATCGAAACCCATCCGGTTATTCCTCTCTAAATAATAATAGGCTTTTACGAAGACGTCTTTCTCCTTTAATTAGAGCTATATATTGTTTTAGTGACATTGTAATTTTATCATATCTTGCGGATTGTGTGGTGGTTATGATTAGAGCTCTTGAATCAAAAACATGGACTTCAACTGTGATAGTTTTTTATGATGTTATTTGTTTGATTGCCTGGATTATGAATTTGAGTTTAATGGCATTAGAAAGGCAAAATTTGGGAAAATGGTCTTGGGTAAATTATCTATTCTACTGGGTTTCTTTAATCGGAGAGGCTCTAATCTTTTATCTATGGTTCTCCGAATTCAATGCTGAATCTGGTAGGTTCTTACTCAAAATAATTGCTTATTTTCTTTAACCTTTTAATTTCTAATTAATTATTATATATTTATTAATAAAATAACTTCATTAGCTCATTTTGCTTCAAATTATGACCTCGCCTTTTTCTGTATATTTGTTATTCGTTATGTTGCTTTATTCATTTCTAGTATGGTATCATTGGTTCGTGCTTTTCAAATTACTTTGGACCAGGAAGATGCTGATAATGATCAAAGTATTCTTGAGAATTCCTCTTCTTATGGCACCTTTTCTTCAGCCGAAGCTTCTCAACCTACACAATCTACACAACCTAGTCATCCAAAAAAGGGCGCATTTGCTGATTTCTATAGCAAAATGCTACGCCTTCTTCCTTTCTTATGGCCAAATAAAAAACCTTTTCTCCAGTTTTTAGTTTATATATGCTTTGGTCTTTTAATCGCTGGACGTGTGGTCAATGTACTTGTTCCTAAACAACTTAAAGTTATTACTGATGAATTAACTGGGGATAGTGGGAATGCTGGTAATCCTTTTTTTTTTTCTATGTTTAACTTTAAATGAATTTATATTTATTTTATCTTATGTCTTTAGCAACATTCCCATGGGTGGCAATCTTGTTATACGCATTTCTGAGGTTTTTGCAAAGTGGTGTTGGTTTAATTCAAGCTACTCAAAATTATTTATGGATTCCTATCGGACAAGTACCAATTATTTTTATCTTATCGATATACTTTTGATTATTTCATAAATCATTTCATAAATTATTTCATCAACTATTTCATTAGTATACAACTCGTGAGATTTCTGTCCAGATGTTTGAACATTTGCATGGGTAACTAATCATTATATTATTTTCTTTATTTTATTTTTCATATATTTATTATTAATTTATTCATTCTCTTTATAATATAGCCTTTCTTTGTCTTATCATATCAATCGTAAAACGGGTGAAGTACTGCGTGTTATGGACCGTGGAACAAACAGTATTATTTCATTATTGAATCAAATATTGTTCCAGATATTTCCTGTAATTGTGGACATCTTTGTTGCTGTTATATTCTTTGTTATCGAATTCGGTTGGCTGTTTGGTTTAATAGTATTTATTACTATGTCGTTATATATTTTCGCGACTGTATGGATTACTGAATGGCGAACTAAATTCAGACGTGAAATGATTGAATTAGATAATGATTCTCGATCTAAAGCTGGTATGTTAATTAAATTATAATTTTGTTGACTTTTTATAATCATAAATTAATTCTTTTTTTTTACGTTTAAATTTTTTAGTCGACTCGCTTTTAAATTTCGAAACTGTTAAATACTATAATGCTGAACGATTTGAAGTTCAACGTTATGATGATTCCATCAGAAAATATCAAGTTGCTGATTATAAAGTCGCCTCTTCACTTAACATTCTTAATATTAGTCAAAACCTTGTTATTACTGCGGGTTTGTTGGCTGGTTGTTTGTTATGCTCTTATAAAGTCACTCAACATATTTTCACTGTTGGTGACTTCATCCTGTTTGTAACATATATTAATCAATTATATTCTCCGGTAAATTTATTATTTATCTATTTACATTTTTTCTACTCGAAATTATATAATAATTATTAACTTTGAATCTATGAATAGCTCAACTTTTTCGGTACCTATTATAGAATGATTCAACAAAATTTCATTGATATGGAAAAAATGTTAGACTTGTTCAAAGAACAACAAAGTATTAGTGATGTACCCGGTGCTACCGAGTTAAAAGTCACTGAAGGATCTGTTTCATTCGGTAATTTTATTATTTTTTCAATTTATATTTTTGTTATTAAATAATATTTTTATATGGTTGAAAATTAATTTGCTATTTATATAAATAGAAAATGTTGGATTTTCTTATGATCCAAGACATCCTGCATTAAAAAATATTTCATTCACAATTCCTAAAGGAAAAACTGTAGCCTTAGTGGGGCCTAGTGGTGGCGGGTATGTAATAATATACCGTAAAATTTTATTATTTATAATATAAATTTTAATTTGATATAAATTTTTAATTTGTTTTTATCAAATTTGTATAATAGTAAATCGACCATTCTTCGACTTTTATTCCGTTTTTATGATGTTGAAACCGGTCGTATTCTTATTGATGGTCAAGACATTCGACTTGTTAAACAAGAAAGCTTGAGAAAAAATATTGGCGTTGTACCTCAAGATACTGTCTTATTTAATGATACTATTTTATACAATATTCATTACGGAAATATTAATGCTCCGGTAGATGACGTCTACAAAGCTGCAAAAGCTGCCCAAATCCATGATCGTATATTAACATTCCCAGATGGTTTGTGTCTTTATCATTTTGTTTACAAAAATGATTCACAATAAATAGATTAAATATATTAAATATATTTTATAAATTTCTAATTTTAAGGCTATCAGACACGTGTTGGAGAGCGTGGTTTGCGTCTAAGTGGTGGTGAAAAACAACGTGTTGCGATTGCAAGGACAATATTGAAGGTTTGTGGTTTTTCATTTATCCTATTTATTTAGTGCTATGGTTGCAATCTTACTAACTAGTGTTAATTTATTATTAGGATCCAGCGGTTTATATCATTTTATTTCTTTTGTAAAAAATTTTCATTTCCAAATAAAAACTAATATGTAACATTCAACCTAGATTATTCTACTTGACGAGGCTACCTCTGCCCTTGACACGACCACAGAAAGACAGATCCAGCATGCACTCTCCAATATAACTAAAGATCGTACAACATTGGTCATTGCGCATCGTCTGAGTACTATTATTAATGCTGACTTGATTCTTTGGTTAGATTTTTTATTCATTGTTGTTATATCTTTTCAATTAAAGATTACAGTTTAAATTAATACAAAATTTTATATAATTTGTATAGTATCAAAGATGGGCAAGTATTTGAACAGGTAATTTTAATTTTCTAATTATTTTTCAAAATTATTTTCTATCTAGTCATTAAATACTTACGATAATAATTTCATTTTTATTAAGGGTACTCATGATGAACTTATCAAAAATACCGAAGGTAATAAACGTGTTATCTATAATATAAATAAATATAGATATATATTAAATTGAAATACATGTTAAAAAAATTTTTTTTTTAAAATTTAATTCTAAATAATAGGTTTATATTATGAAATGTGGCAAAAACAATTACGCGACGAAACCGAAAGCAAAACTGAAGTTACTGATGAAATCGAAGTATCAAGTACTAATACATCTCAAAATGGAATAAATAACAATGGTGTAAACTCTTCACATGTTCACGGACATGTTTAGTTAGGAAAAAAAAACAAAAAAATTTAAAATGGGTGTGTACAGATGGTATTTTTTTTTAGAATTTATAGAATTTTACAGAATATTTTTCTTTTTTACTCGAAAAATTTAAAATCGTTGATGCTACTGGTTTGTGATCATCAATATATTGTATCATGTAACAATAATATATTTAAAGTATAACGTTATAAAAAAAGAATATAAAATTATTTAAAGAATTGAATTAAAAAATTTTATCAATTGGTAGTTTTTTTTTGATACAATAGAAACTATGCGCGTTATTTCGGGAATTCAGTTAACCACGGTTGCATAAACAACTGGTTGATAGCTAGTTTCGATTAACGGTTAATAAAACATGGCGTAAATATAATAACAATAGCGATCGAAATGAATAATTACGGGCATGTGACTGTGTGGCTAATACGTAATCCGGTTGACTCGGTTAGACTGACAGACTAATTGACACAAACCAACCGAAAAGAAATTATCCCGGTTAAACCTATTATATCCAGCTAAGGCCAGGTTGGCTAACCGATTAGCATTTTTTACTAGGTTCAAATCACTAGTTCAAATCACCAAGTTTGGTGACTAAATTATTTTGATCAAACAATATGGTGATGTTGGTTTTGTATAATATGTCCAGCAATTTCGAATTCATTTGGACATGCGTATAAAATTTTATAGTTAGACCTCCTTAAATGCAATAGTCCATTAAAAACCTCTCTAAATGCATGCCTTGTTTGGTTCCAACTAATGATAGGAACTGACTAAATTTTAATTAACTAAGTCGACTAAAATCGATTAAAATCAACTATTCGACTAAATTTTATTAATCGACTAGAACAAATTATATATTTGAAAATGTGATTGTAAGTAATCGTCCGAAATGTCTCGAAATAGGTTATGAATGAATCTAAATTACGAGTATAATTGAGAAATTTCTTGAGAAATATTCTGAACTTATGTTCACGGTATTTAATAGTATAAGGGTCGACCAACTTTATAAATTAGTTGACTAAAAAATTATAGTCGATTCTCATCACTAATTACAATTCATATCATGCCTATAGATTTACCTCTCTAAACGCAAGGGTTTTCAATTTTTTTATATATAGGCACTTTGGCTATGCATTTAGAGAGATCTGACTGTATATCCAATTGTTAATAAGCGTATCGATCGCAATTTTCAACACTTAGTATAGGTTCTCAAGATATGTTCGCGTGCAAATATAAGTCAGACAAATAAATAATTCAAAATCGTGTTGGTCACTTGCGCTTAAGTTAAAACAATCACAATAAATCTATCTTGAATAATTGATATAGATCAAGTCAAATCATAATGCATCTGTAATAGTGCATTTATCTTTAAGTTTTCAAAGCTATTTTAAACAAACAATTCTATTTTTAAGACTGAAAACACTTTTGATTGTTATACCTTTCCAATAGATAAATATCTTGCTGCAAGATTATATCGTAGTTTGTATTTCCATATACGCACACTGTACAGTAGCCAACAAAAGTGACGCCGATGATCAATATTTATTTTTTATAATATGTGAGTTTCATTGAGATGAACAAATTGAGATTTATTTGTTTAAAAATTATGAAGTTAACAATTTAAAATTTCACATGTAAAACATATAATATTGTAAATTTGATTTTAAAATTAAATATAAAATTTCAATTTTTTTTAAAAAAAAACTTAAATTATTAAAGTAATGTTATTATATTTTAAAGACAACATAAAATAAGAAAATTATTTTATAAAAAAATATAAGGTTTAATATAACATAAAACTTACAATTAAATTTTACAAAATTTATATAATAAAAATATAAAATTTTAAAATTGTTAAAAATCCAAAATAGGAGTGTGGTGACCTAGTGAAGTGGTTAGGTTGTCAACCTCCAAGTGGTAGATTGGGTGTTCAAATCCCATCAATGACAAAAATTTGGATAATTACCTATGTAATATTTATATTACAGTAACTGTTACTAATGATTAGGTTAGAATAATTGTAATGACAGTTATACTAGTATGACTGGCAGGTCATGGGGCATCTGCGCAATATTGGAGTTACACAAAAGAATACAAACTAACAAATCAGGCAGTGCAAACACTAGATAAGTCCTTGTAGTTGTGTAAATCTGTTGAAATTGGATAACAAGAAGTCTATTTGAAAAGACTCAAGTAGAGAGGTAGTTGAATTTTCAATAATCCTATTATAAAGACTAGTTTAGCAAAATAGATACCAAGATCTAGCATCTGGTTGTAGTGATCAGACAGACAAGAACCTCTAGGTTAGTAGTCTTGAAGGTATCACCAATCAGGCCATTGGAATGAACTAGAGGAAAAGAATATTAGGCTGATCTAATATATCAATGAATTGGTCATAGTCCTATATTAGTTATCTAGATTGGAAGTTTAATAAAAAGGCAGAGGAAAAGACAGAAATATACTAAAATACTGGGATTATGTTGTGAAGTAGATACTGGTGTCAGAGGTAAAACCGACACCTCATAGAGCCTGCAAAATGGACGTCATTGTGGCATACTTACCTAATTAGAGTTG